TTGGTTAAAATTTTTATCAAATGAGTTAAAGGTGATGATAATTAAGTTAAAGGTGATAATAAGGTAATGATAACTTTATCAGTAACAACATTTATGATCTATTTTGTATGTATTCCTACACAATTTGATAAATTGATAAATTTTTATTTTACCATCACTTTATTTTTAATTTAGATTAAGTACTCTCTTCCTAAACTATGCTTATTTGACTCGAACATAAAGGTAAATTTTTAAGAAAAACATTTATAATTAGCTTCACTATTGTTGTAATAAGATGCCAAATACGATAATAAAAATGACGACCAATGTTTCAATGTAATCTATCAAGGTTTCGTATTCTTCATTAAACTTGTATTACTTTGGAGACATAATAAGGAACTTAAAGTTAGTAATCAGAAAAAATACAATCGTTTACAGAATTTTTTGTTCTAGTGCAATACTATTTAATTTTGATTTCTAATAACGTAGAAAAATTATCCTAATAAGGATGTAATAATTCTAAATGACCGTAAGCTTACAAACTGGTTCAAGTCTTTAAAAACGTGTACAAATTACTAAGCAATATTACAAAATCGTTTTACTGACATATCAAACCTCGGCTATTTTTACAATTACATCCTTACCAATAATTACCAAAATAGTTGATAGGAAGGTATGCTACTGCACACAAATTTTATATTAGCAAACCAAACTAGATAACAAACTATATAAATTCCGCACTAGCCCCAAGCTGGTATTGGATGGGGGGAATACGTGCTGCACATTCTAACGGCCAGTGAAAGTGAGTGACCACAAACCTGCAAGGGATTCTAGCACCTGCGGCGTCAAGACGGTATGAAAGTTGGATCTATTTTCGGTTCACCGGCATCGTTATGAATTTTAATCCATCGATATAGAAAGCAATTCATTGAATTTTTGTCTCAGCTTTCACGATTGGAGTTGTATTTTGGAAATACAAGTTGTAGTTAATATGTTGCTTAAAAATCAGGGGGAACAATTGGTTTTGTTTGGATTGAAACTAGTTTGATTTTTGATCTGAAAGTATTATACTTAGAAGTTGTATTGCATTTACAACTAGGGGGCTGGTCTAGTGGTTAGAGCGCGGGACTTCGGTCCAAGAGTTGCCGGGTTTAAATCCAGCCAAATCACCAATGGATTTTACGGTGATAATGCCGGAACCCCTAGATCTACCCTAAAGCAATGTGAAAATCAAACCAAGGTTCGTGCCTAGTGTCACAGAGAAAAAAATGACATTTACAAAATAATAAAGTTACATATGTTTGTGATTTGTTTCTATAAAAGTTTATGTTGGCTGTCTCGTTTTTACATAATTCTATATAGTTGAAATATAAGATGAATAATAATGATAACCATCTACTATTGCGTTAAGAGTTAGTTTTAGGGTATATATATCAAGAGATGGTTAAAGGGATAAACAGCAATCGAATTATACAAACAAAAATGTACTAAACTATAATGTTAATACAAGATGTAATCTATTTTTGTCTATCGAGCATTTCATTCCTACATTACAGGTTTATCACTACGGTTTCAACTGACTTGAAAGATTTGTTGTTTACAAATAAAAGTTCGTTGTTCAAAATGCCGTAAAATTAATTATCTCCATAGAATTATATAATTTTAGTAATACTTTAACAACCACTTAACAAAATTAAACGCAATAGGCCTCAGACGTTTGCTGTAAAACTCGTTAACTTTAATAACGTCAATATTTGTCTAATGGTCTACGATTATTAAACTTACGTCAGTTAAAACTTTCTTAGTCATTTTAAACGATGACGAACAAACGTTACATGAGGTTTGTTTATCAAAAAGACACAATATCACAGATTGCATTACCAAAATATAATACGTTTCAGGAAAATTTCCAAAGACAAAATTTTTCTTGTGATTGAATTTCTCTAGACCAATAACATTAGATAGCCCAATAACAAAATGGCATCTAAGTCCATAAACTATCTCGATTGAAATCGAAGTAGCACTCTTCAGATAAATGCAAACCCTATAACAATCGGCTACCCAAACAAATATATTTTTTTTATTTTTACAAGCGAATTTCCCTGAACGGAAGTAGCTATTCCCGCATGTGACAGGATAAGACCTTAACCCGGTACTGATTTACTTCTTCATTTTAAAATACAAATATAGGCCTATACGTCCATAAACCCGATAACTTGAGTAATTTTCGTCCGATTTTGATGAACTTTTGCTTGAAGATGTATGGCAGGATGTGTACTTGAATTAGTTCACGAATTGGCATGATCGGACCATGGGAACGGGATTTCATGGGGTAAATATTTTTTCTCACTTTTGACCCTGAAAACATAAAATTCAAAATTACCCTATGAGCACAAGGGTATTTAATTGATAGTCCAATCAGGCAAATGGAAATTCGCTTAGTTTGCAGGTTTGCTGCGGAAGGTATGTTTGGCTTTGATACAGCTATTTAACTTTTATGTTTATATTTTATGCGTATTTTAAACAAAAAATCTATACTTAAAGTCATGCAAATATTTATCACATGTTTCACAGTGGTAAATCTTTTACAGGAAATTACCGTAATCAACCTCATTCAATTATACCTTATGAGCACCAAAGTACAATGTACAATAGTGATGTTATCACAGGATAGTAAAGCCTAATGGCCCCTGTAAAGTTACGTTTACAAAGTAATAACGCGTAAAGCAGCATTTTACGACCCTCATAGAAGCTGGACGCTTCATATACAACATTACAACCCTTAGCTTTGTGACTTTATATGATTAAACTTAATACTAAATTATATGAAGAGAAAACGTGTTTTAAATGGAAAAACTTCCTCAAATAAAACCACAAATTCACAAATGTGGGCAGATGTTGATATATTCAGCTGAAAAGTGAACCTAGAGTGTTTCATGTTGTTTAAATTTTTATTGTGGTCATTTACCATCACAATGGTATACAATACACGTTCGGGATCTGAAATCTGTGCCCGTCCTCAGGTAACCAACACATTACAACTGACAATACACAAACCCAACCTAAGTTGGAATAAACTGCAGGGGGTAGCAGTTAAGTATATGCACTGTATAGCAGCCATGTATGATAAAAAATGCAAAACAAAATCTCAAATAATATTAGTGATTGCAATATATTTCTTGGATTTTTTTTCATTAAATTGTAGTTTTTAAAATACATAAGATAATATTCCTAAGTTTCGATGCTAGTGGTATTTTATTAAAAGTGTCGACACTATTTTTTTGTATAGCAATCCTAAAAGCTTTTGAGTATTTCCCGAAAATCAAACACACTTTGCATCGAAAGTCAAAGACACTAAATAAAAGGGTAGAAGCAAGCACAAGCATTTAAGGCAAACAAATCAAAATTATATCGTTGCAGTTTAAATATGTTTTTGTATGGTTTTTGTTTACGAATGAATCTTCCTGCATCGTACCATATTCAAGCATACTTTTAACGCCAAGCTAAGTAAAATCAAATTACTTTCGGTAAAACAGTCAAATCTCAAAATAGAACCAATCACGAATTTAATATCATGATAAGTTGTAAAAACCAATCTTTCTACGAAGTGTTCACTGACAGCGTATTGTTATTTCGATTCCTTTATTATTTGATATTGCCTATAAAATTTAACGCGTCATAACAGTGTTTTAGTGAAGAAATAAAAACATATTGCCATTCTGTGCCGTAAAATCTTGTCTTATTTTTACCGTGTCTTCTAATAAAGCTACATACGGCTTTAAACTGCTCACCTGGTACGATACGTTATTATAACACGCCTTCGTTGTTATATTAAAGTTTATATTTATAAAATTAAATATATTAAAATATAAATCATATGATACATTCAATATACATGATATGATTTATTAAAGAAATAAACGTTTAAAATATATTTAATATTTAAAATCTATTTTCCAATTATTTAAACTAATTGTTTACGAATCATTTTGAAAACTTTAGTTTCATGCATTTTTAATTAGATGTATTATTTGCTCAGGTTCGTATTTAATAAATTGGAATCATCAAAATACAATTCCCATTTGCAATATCATGAATAGTTTCAAATTAAACTTAGCTGACAAGCATAAGTAAATAAAATGGAATTTCGATCTTATTCAATATTTGAAATATGGTAAATCAGACTACATGTTTCCAAGAAAATATATTACATTCAATAAAGGAAAATAAATCTTTTTTACTGGAATAACTTAGTTTTATAGGAATGGACCAAACAAGTCACAGGGAAAACTCGATACACCAACAAATTACTATCAATATTAACGCTCTAAACTGTTCCAACAATGTTGATATAATATTTTCCAAATTACTTATGTTTTATAAATCTTATATTCATTATTTAATTAAAACTATTTATGAAAGAAAAAAAACTTGATCACATTTCATTAAATTTTTCGTTCCTCTAATTTCTTTCTTGAATCGTTGACATAAGTATAGCCAGAACGTAAAAATAAAATTTCTTATTAGTAACATCACGTAATTTTAGGACATGATGTAACGTTTTAATGCGTATGATGTTTTTCAAAATTGATGAGTGTAATCTGCGTTGATTTTGTAATTCTCTGCCGAAAAAAGACGTTTATGAACTCATTAGCTTGCTTTTTGCTCTCGAAAACCAAATGACCGGTAAATTAATCTACTTCCGCATACGTACATAAACACAGTTCTGTGTTTAAATCCAAAGTGACCACTTATATTTTTAGTCTGGTTATCGAAAATACCGTGTAAAACAATATATGGTAATGTTGTATTAAGTATGTTCTTTTAGTAATATGATTTATTTGTGTTTAAATATCTTTTGTTGACAGATGATTTTTGTAAACATGTTTTGGTAAACATTAGTTTAGTTGGAAATAGAGTTTGTTGAAACAAGATGTGTGTTTAATATTATTGTATTAGAAATAGAACATGGTGGCAGCTTAGTGGATTTTTATCGAACTGAAAGTCTAAAACCACGCATAATGTCAAGTAAGGGCAGAAAAAAACGAAATACTCGGAGGCAAAGGTATGAGGATAACGGTGAGGACGACACCCAAAGTGAACTCAACCACGTTTCAGAAAGGGACTCTAGAAAGACTAAAGATGAGTCACGAGGTTTTGCATTGGGACATACGAACCGAGAAAATGATGCAGCTATGTATACTCCTACTCCGATGGTCAATATCACTTTACCAACTCCAGAAACGTTCTCTTTAACTCCGAATGAGTGGCATTCCTGGAGGAATCGCTTTCAAAGGTACAGACGGGGTTGCGGTCTGGATAGCACTTCCGACGCTCGGCAAATCGATGTACTTTTGTTTGTAATGGGTAGTAGAAGTGAAGATATTTTCGATTCGTTTTCACCAAAACCTAATACTTATGACGAGGCTCTTAGGGCCTTTGATGAATACTTTGTGCCAAGACGGAATATAATTTATGAGAGATCAAAATTTTTGAGACACAAGCAAGGGAGTGATCCATCTGAAAAATTTATAACAGATTTGCATGGCCTTGCGAAAACGTGTGCATGGGGTGAACTAAATGATGAGATGATGCTTCTCGTCCTCATTATTGGTATGCAAGATGAGGGTCTGAGTGATAGACTCCAGCTGGAATCTCAATTGACTCTGGAGAAAGCAATTAATACCTTGCGCCAACATGAGGAGCTAGAACGCCAAAAACGTGAACTTGCCAATACTAATGTTTTTTTGGTAAATAAAACGTCAGTTCAAAACGGTAAACCGAATCGGACAGAAGGAGTTTGTGACCAGAAATACATCGAGGATGCAGAAAATACAAAGAAGTGCAGGAAATGTGGTTATGATTGGCACGGATCACTGGCCGAATGTCCTGCTAGGAAAGCCAAATGTGACAAATGTTCCGAGATTGGACATTTTTTTCGATGCTGTCCCTACCGCGAAAAGTGGATGAGAAAAAACAAAAATGTTGTTAAAGAAATCGAACAGCAAGTTTCAGACTGTGGAGATCTACAGGTTCCTGAGATTTTCATCGGGAATATAGAAAACAATGACAGAGCCTGGGCCCAGGAGGTAAAAGCAAGCTGTGGAAACCAAGTGTTAGGGCTTATAAAATTTAAACTTGACACAGCCGCTGATGTAACCATGATTCCAGTAGGAGTTCTTGGTGATTTTATTAAGACTCTGCCTCTAGGAAAATGCAAATCCCCTGTGTACAGTGCAAAGAAGAAAGAACGAATCAATATTTTGGGAACTTTAAGGCTGAAGCTTGAACATAAGGGTGTATCAATTTATGATCATGCGTATATTTCTGAGGAGATCACTGTTCCACTTCTTAGCAGACGTTCCTGTGAAGAGCTGAAACTGGTGAAGAGGATCTTTTCTGTAGATTCATCAGATATTGACTGGGTTACTGAGTACCCTAATTTATTTCAAGGATTGGGAAATATGAAAGGAGAGTACAAGATAGAAATGAAGGAGAATGCAGTTCCTTATGCTATATCTACCCCCAGGGTTGTACCAATACCTTTAAAAAGCAAGGTGAAAGAGCAGTTAGAGAATATGCTTGAAAAAGGAGTGATTGTCCCAGTTGAACACGCGACTGATTGGTGCGCACCAATGGTAGTTTGCGCAAAAAAGAGAGGTGGGGTTACGATCTGCGTGGACCTATCCAAACTCAACAACAGTGTGAAACGTCGGTTTTATCCTATTCCAAAGATTGAACTTTCATTGTCCCAGATCGCGGGAGCCAAGTACTTCAGCAAGATTGATGCGAATTCCGGTTTCTGGCAACTGAACCTTGCAGAGGAGTCTCAAGATTACACAACATTTATCACCCCTTTCGGGAGGTATAAATTCTGTAAGGTACCTTTTGGAATTACATCTGCTCATGAAGAGTTTCAGCGCCGTATGTCAAAAGCTTTAGAAGGGGCAAAGAACTGTTTAGTGCACATTGATGACTGTTTGATATGGGGAAGAACGAAAGAGGAACACGACGAGTGTCTTAGAGCCGTTCTAGAGAGAGTGCAAGCTAATGGAATCACTTTGAATAAGCAGAAGTCTGAGTTCTGCAAGAAGACTGTGACATTTTTGGGGTTTGTGCTGTCTAAGGAAGGAATCAAGCCTGATCCAAGCAAGGTACAAGCAGTTGTGGGCTTACCAGCCTCAAGTAATGCTAATGAAGTCCAGAGATTCATGGGCATGATCACTTTTCTGGCTAAATTTATTCCGAACTGCAGTGAGATTTTAGAGCCAATTACGAGCTTGTTAAAGACTAAAAACGATTTCTTTTGGGGACCAACTCAGGAAAAAGCGTTTGTCACAGTGAAACAGATTTTATCATCAGAGCCATGTTTAACTGTTTACGATCCGGAAAAGCCCTCGATTCTTTCTTGTGATGCTTCAAAAAAAGGTCTTGGAGCGGTTTTACTACAAGTTGAAGGAGAAAACAAGAAACCTGTGGCATATATATCTCGGACTCTAATGCCTGTTGAAGAAAACTACAGTTACATTGAGAGAGAAGCGCTTGCGTGCACTTGGGCAAGTGACCGTTTAAAATGTTTCCTGATGGGTAAAATGTACACAATTGAGAGCGACCACAAACCGCTTGTCTCAATTTTCAAAAAACAAAATTTGGACGAGCTCTCACCGAGGCTACAACGATTCCGAATGCGTATGATGAGATACGATTATCGCATGACCTGGACCCCAAGAAAAGACCTTGCCATAGCAGATCTGCTATCGAGATGTCCTATTCCGGCTAATGAAGATGGCGAATTGACAGAAGAAGTGGAAGCCTTCGTCCATGAAATCAGTATGATTAGAATAAACACTACAGATGAAAATGTGACAAAAGTACTTCACTCACAAATGAGGGATCCAATATGTGCACAACTCAAGCTAAAAATTTTAGACGAATGGCCTGGAAAATCAAGTTTACCTAATGAGATTCAAGAATACTTTAACGTGAAAGACGAGTTAAGTTGTATTGATGGGTTATTGCTTCGAGGAACTCGGATGATAATACCTCAGGAACTACGAGCGGAAATGCTTGAGAGGCTTCACAGTGGACACTTGGGAATCACAAAAACAAGGAAACGTGCTTTGGAAACCATGTGGTGGCCTGGAATTTCTCAAGAAATAGAAAGAAAAAGCAAATCGTGTCCAGTGTGTATTCAGAACTCAACTAATCACAGTGAACCATTGATTCCAGAACTTATGTTTGGAGGGAAAATAAGAGACAATCTTCCATCTACTTTGGTTGGAAATCCTGTGGAAAATAAAGACTTTTTTGAGAGGGAGAATAAGTACCAGTCGAAGTATAAGATGCAATTTGATAAACGACATGGAACGAGGGGTTTAAGTGAATTAGAAGAGGGAAGCATGGTATGGATCACAGATCTACGTAGACATGGTAAAGTAGTCAGGAAATTGAACGAACCACGTTCCTACCTTGTGGACATTGACAAGAAAACCATTCGACGAAACCAGAAGTTCTTAGTTCCTGCACCATACTACGGAGAAGATTGCATTCTTTCAAACTGTTCATCTACGGTCCTTAATTGTCCATCTAACTCACGTGATCGTCCAGACGCTGGCACAGTTACCCATTACGGAAGGTCCATCAAGATACCGAGGCGGTACCGAGCTTCATGAAGATGTAGACATCTTGAGGCGGGATGTTGTATTAAGTATGTTCTTTTAGTAATATGATTTATTTGTGTTTAAATATCTTTTGTTGACAGATGATTTTTGTAAACATGTTTTGGTAAACATTAGTTTAGTTGGAAATAGAGTTTGTTGAAACAAGATGTGTGTTTAATATTATTGTATTAGAAATAGAACAGGTAATAAATAGCCTAACCTACCGCATGAGTGTTGTGGAAGGTAGAAGGTTAATGTTTAGGGTTGTTAACTTATCTTCAGCTTCATAAATATATGGACACACATTTTTTTCTGATGGGGCAGTACTCAATCCAACAAATATTTTTACATGAAGCCACATATGAACTCCCTCAAAGTGTAAATGCTTATATTACTCGTCTAGTAATTAGAAGGTCGCTTGTTAAGCTCTGTGAAAAGTCGGTAGCTTTTTGATGGTTTGAAACTGGTTCCAAAAATCCTTGATCATATGGCTTTCTAGTAATAGATAGTACTGGTCAAAAATTGTATCTAAGTCAGCAACAATGCTACAATCTTATTTATTATAAGAGACATCCTTCGCCATGGCTTCCTCTAATACAAGGCCGCGGTGTTGTTGTGTGGCAACGTCGACCGGCCGGCCTATTGCCGTTGCCATGACAATCACAGTAACATAAACATTGGGAAGATGCTCCATTATGAATCAGTGCAACAGCTGTTTCGGCAGGCCTGATATGCGGCGTTGCCACTTTTGTCACGTCGTGACGTTGTGTCGGTTTCAGGGAAACATAACATAATCCAGTCTAAGTCGTGGCATTAATATAGCCATATAACTAAAAGCTGTAAGGGTGGGTGTGTGCTTTAATAAAGACTACAATGTCTTAAAACATAAGTCCAACACCTTAACCCTTAGACCAACTGTCCCTTATAAGAAGTTAAAGGGCATAAGTCTTTATATAGCAATGAGTAACACTGTTCGTTGCTAAAATATCCAAGGTTATTAAACATAACTTTGAGGTAGCAAACTTTGGTTGGTTTCTTAGTCGGTTCTTGTTCCAGCCAGTACTCATAGACTTCAAAGTTGGTTGTAAACTTTGTACAATATTATTTAACTTGTTTAAGGTTTGGAGGCCAAATTAACTAAGTTGGTTCACATTTCCTTCTCGATTTTGGTGTTTTATCCTTATAATTTGCCTTTCTTTGAGCGTAATTTGTTTATTTGGAATTTTGATCTCACATGGTGATCTTTATGTTGATTTATAATACAATTACGGTCGAATTCAAAGGAAATTGATTGTGAAAATGAAGTACTCCTCAGTAGTATTTTTCTTTTATGTATTTAGATACATACATACAGACAAATACATTTAGGCAGGATCTGACCCTGGTGTCATATAGTGAAAAAATAAATTTTAATTTTATGAATTCAATCACATGATTTATTATTTATTATTTATTTAGTATGCTTTACACTAGTAAAATAAGGTTTAAAATATCAAAAAAACTAATTTCAATAATAAAGATTGTTCTGTGAAAATATTTGGCTTGAATTAGGTTAAAATTAAATCTATATAACAAACTTCATTTTACTTTTACTTGAGATAGAGAAATGAAACTAATAAATAAGAAGTTTAAAAGATATTGAAACCCAATAAAAACCTACTGTTGCAATTTCGTTGCAAAAGGTATTGGATTTCATATTGCCTGTTGGTCATATATATCTACCATGAATCAAAGACCCAAACGCTAGTTATATTTGTGATTTTTTAAATCAGCCTGATTACCGTTAATTTATATCTTTTATAAGATTCTCAATCATCGCTTTACCATTCAACATAAATTTTTAATTACCTAATAAAACAACACTTCTGCAAAAGAATTCCAAGTGTTTATCTTTGACATTTAATAGGTTGTATAACATTTGATTAATAAGTGTCTTTTTTTAGTCTGATTGCTTTGAATAAGCAGTTCAATTTACAGTTTGGGTTTGTTAATATTGTTGGATGTAAAAGACAAGCGAATTTCAATGTAAGAGATATTATGGTAAATTATAATCAGTATTTAATACAATGCATATTTTGACTTTGGGGGATAACTATTTTCTATGTATCGGTAGTATCGATTAATTATTAAGTCCGTATTTGTGTCTGTTTAATTACTTCATAGCAAGAGCTATCAAGAGGTTGAACGGACGCTGAAGTTAACCTCTCAATTTGGTCTGTTGAACTGGAAAATCAAATCAATGAGTCAGTAACCTAGGAACAGTGATATTGAATTGATTCTCTATGTTTTAAACAATAAAATTAAGATAAACATATTTAAACAATTGACAAAATTTAGTTTATGTTTTTAATATTGTTCTACTCAATTTGATTACAATAAATTAATTAAACAATTTTCATTTGTAAGGTTTCTATTCTACAATCAAAAACAAAAATTTAATTCATAAAGAAATCTTAAATAACCTCGTTATAGTTACTACTAATTTACAGAAAGGATAACTCTTATTTGTATGAGGACTCGACTTATAATTTTGTATCATCTTCTAAAGGTTGGCATATAAGTTTTGAGAGGTATAAAAATATTGAAGAGGCTGGATTATAATACCAGTTGCCACTTATTATCAGATAACACTTACGAAAAACTGACCTCTCATTTTGTTCATTTGACTACTTAGTAACATAGTGGATCGAAAGTAATTATTTTTCTTAAATAGGGCCTTCTGAAAGATTAATATTTCAATTGTGACTTTTGGAACTGGCTTATCTCAAAGATCAAAAATTTGTAGGAAGTTCTATAACGGGAAACCAAAGTTTAAATTTCAGTTTGATAGTAGGCAATCCGTTTTACGACTTGTTTTTCAAACATCTGACTTTGGTGTCGTTTTTAAAGTTCACGTGTAAAGAAATCTTTTAGCCATTATAATTAAACCCTAGTAGTTAGTTTTTAGTCTAATTTATAAATGTTATTGTTTATTTTTATGCTAAGTAGACGGGTTTACTGGTATATCTCCATTTCCTCGAAAACTGCTATCATCAAATATTATGTGTACCTCAAATAAAATTAAACGTAAATGTTTTAGTAGGTGCTTTGTAAGATACTATTCTCGTCAGTATTAAATTAATAATTTTCTTTACGTAAGAATGTTTTTAATTTGTTCATTTAAGATCATGTTTAAGTCACCTAAAACAAACAATTATCATCATCATTCTATTAGGCTACTGGAAATAATAATACTTCATAATAAGTCTAAAACTATATGTTCAAAATAAATACTCAAACAAATGTAACAAAGAATTAAAGTCTCTATGCAATGAAAAAAATATTCCAGCAATGAATAAATTTACCAGAGTCTTAAATCAATATTTTAATCTGATTTACCATTAACATCATATTAAATCGCTGTAGCTTGAGGGTACAGAATATGGTATTATGGGTGGTATATGGTATATTAGTAGTTCACTATATTTGCTGGAGTAAATCAATAACAATTTAGCCAGGTCACTAAGGATAAGTTCACAAAGTTTTTAATGTATTCGAGCTCTAGTCACTATAGTGTCTAAGACCTTGCCGTAAATTTCAAACTAAAATTCTTGTTAAGCTCTTGATCGTCGAACAAAGTTTCTACACCCTCAAAGTCCGGTACTTTTTTTAATTATAAACCAAAATAAAAAAAATTATGTTATCAGGGATTTTATAACATGTGTCCATTAAATAATAGCATTTAAGTTCAAATATATTGATTAAATAATAATAAATATAAATTAATTGCCCACATTAATTACACAAAACTGTACTGTACGATGGTTGTATATATCATATATATGATTGTATATATGATTTGGTTTATATATGGTATATTTATGATGCAATTCAAGTTATGATAAATCCTTCTAGAATATTGCGGCATTATCGCATACATCATTCGTGCTCCGTAAGGAACTGGGCTAGTGGTAGAGCACAGGTCTCGGGCCCCTGAGGTCCCGGGTTCAAGTCATGTCAATCACGATTGTATCTCACCCAACTAATAATTCCGCGATTCCTAGGCCTCACCTGAAGTAAGGAAAAACAATCCTAGCCTAGCCTAGGGAAATATCGTGATTAGTCGAATTCGTACCTGCAGGGACCGTATCTTGCACTTGTAATGAGCCAACATCCCGAAATAGAAATAGTTCAAAAGTATAACAGACGGTTTAGAGTTTAGGTTTAGCGTGAAATACGTCATGAATACTTTAAGAAAATACTTACAAAGGACAATGATTCGAACAAGTATGGGTAAACGCAATCCCTAAGTGAATTTCTTCTCTATTTTGACCTTTTTTTACTTGATAGTAGAAAACTCTAATTCAACGTGATTACACATTCACTTTAATGTGAATGGAAAGCAAACTGGCAAAGTCAACTTCTTAACTAGGTCAAGGGATTTTCTGTAGCTTAAGAAGATTATCAGGAGAATTTGTGTTCTTGTTCAATATATTAAACCAATCTGTTTCGATGTCAATTCTTATACATTAGTTTGGAATACATTAGTTAGTTTTTAAGGTCTCTTTACCTTAAACACTGAAGAGTCATAATTGTAATTTTGTGGTCAAGGTATTGTAATAAATAACATTTTTTGAAGTAAACCTCCATTTTAAAGAATTATGAACTCTTCATATATCTCTAGAACTTTTTAGCCCTAATTATATTATTTTGCGTTAAATAATGTTGAATCACGTTACGTAGACATCTAGAGAGTGGTTATGTGCTTGGTGTGTCTTCATCTCCAAAGTTCAGGGCTCAAAACCCGCCAATCACCAATGGAATATAGCAGTGATAAAGCCACAACTCTAGGCCTAAAGTAACGTGTAAAGTGCTTTTGGCTACATACTTTTGTCCTTGGTATAAAGGTAAAACGTTAAAATAAAAAATAAAAAAAACCTTGATAAAATCTAGAATGATAAATTGAAACTAATAATCTTCAAGCAAGTACAAGGCTACTGTTAAGTATGTATTTATACTTCCTTGGTAGGAGA